AATATAGCACGTAGCGTGTTGTCATTTATGTGTAAAATTTAACAACTTCCATTCATCCGTCATCCACTTTCAGTCACGGAGTTGGGGGGGTTTCTTCAGTCACACCCCTCTCCCCATGTCGACTGGCAGATGGGTAATATGAATTTAAAAAACAGATGTTCTGGAGCTCCATCGTTTCATCTGCAGTTAAGTGAGAACTAGTTGGCGGGAGACAGACCGTCTACATTTTTAAAAATGACGGTTCATTAGAGTCCCTTCTGTCAGTAGAGGGGCCCCTACACACCCTGGAGTCACGTTACCGTTGACAACGCCAAGGGGCGGGGCTTCTCCCAGCTGACCCGGTCACGTAGGTGAACCCCAGCCACCTCCAGCGGTCTGCAGGATATCAGCCTTCTCCTCGTCGAAAATTGCTCTGGGAGTCGACCTAGACCCAGCCTGCCTTCACGAGAAGGCACACAGCTCGAGGCCGAGAGTGAGGCGCCCAGACCGCAGGAGGAAGGGAGATCTCAGGGCCGCGTGGATCTGTGACGCAAGTGGGCGAAATCACGTGCCGCTCGGGGGATGAATGGCAGCCGCCGGTCCTGATGCCCCGTCTCCCTTCATCCTCCGAGGCAACGTAGCTCTGTGGAATGTGCGTCTGTTTGACTTCGTGCTTTTAGAGCCGACGGAGAACACTGGGGCTGTCCCGGCTTTTTATGTTTCTGAGAGATTTATAATAACACCTTTTGAATTTCCAGTCTTATCTGTCCGCCAACTGGGAGAGGATGTATGGAGGTCAGAGAAAACCAGCACAACCAGTAAATAGCAACATGAAAAGTACCGTGATTGATGAGGCTCGTAGCTCGGGGGGAATGCAGGTCTTTATGGTAGTTTCGCGTGCAGCCGGACTGACAGTCAGCTTTTTGCATTGTCTCGAGTCAGCGGACATATTCGTCAGAAAGAAGCTCTGGGTGACGGGTCGTCTCCTTGGGCCATGGGGATCTGGCTTATGTTCCTGTGCATTGGTGCTGTCTGCTAATACAGGGGATTTGGTGAGGGAGGGGTGACCTTGTGCATTGCTTTGGGGGGGGGGAGTGGTTTATGACCTCTGTGTCAGTTTCTCATAGCTATGACGTCACTGGTGCAGCGTGAGATTCTCATACTGGCCCAGGCGTTGTGGAAGGTTCCGATTAGTGGGAGACTCTTGTTTCAGTGTCTTGAGCAGATATTTGACTCGGAACCTGAAGTTCGTGGATTATTTTGCTTCTCTGGAAATGACCACCTTAATATACTGGAAGGGAGGACCAACATGGCATTCCAGCTATTTGCTGGCAACTATCTACCTCGACTTGCCTCAGTCCTGGGGTTTGGTCATTATAACGTTTCACTGAGGTAGCAGGTTCAGCTGAGCTTCAGCAGATGTAACAGTTGTGACAAAGCTACATTTCTTTTGGAGAAACACCCACGTTCTGTAAGTACCTAAATAAACGAAGAACCTTCTGCTAACCTGACAGACTGCGGTGTGACTCCATCTCAGCTGGTGGTCCGTGTCTCCGACTCTGTGACTTGGTAGACTGAAGGGATGAGGGAGCGTGATGTTTGGGTATTTCTCCAACAGAAGGAGCCCAGTCAGAAAGCCCTCTGTTTAACCAAACTGTTCTAGAAGCTCTCGGCCCTCCCTGTCCCACCGGTACCTCCTCAGCATCCTCACAGATGGGTTCCGGTGGCATTTCCCGTCACAGCCCTTCACTGTCCAGAAGAGACTTTGAGCGTGGAGGCTTCTCTAGAGTGTATTCTGTGATTGGCTAGCGTGTGGATGGCATGTTCACACACTGAGGCTCCTCGCTGCCAGGCTAGACATTAGTCTGCAGGCACACGCGGATACGGCGGGTTGGTCATCCTGAGACACCGTCTGGGCCTTGATCACTGGGAAATGTAGTCTTTTAGCAGATTAACATACTCTGATGTATGATATTCTCCTCACAATATTCTAATGTGGGTCTGTATTTTTTTGCTGTCCTTCCTTCTGGTGTCTGACCACGCCCCCCTGAGAGTACGGGTGCAGGTGGTATTTCACGCTTGCCGGAGGTTTGCGGACGTTCTGGCATCTCGCGTTTGGCTTCCCTGCTTTCCCTTCAGCGCTCGGTGACACCCCCCCCCAGAGCTGACCACGCTTACCTGCAGATCTCCCCACTGTTCCTGCAGCTGGCAGATGGCTCTTCAGTGCTGCTTTACAAACCTTGTAGTCCTTCATGAAAAAGCGAACCACCCTCCGATCTGAACACCCAGAGTTAGCATCATCTGTGGGTCCGGTTTAAAGACACCACGTGTGTGTTTGGATGGGTCTGCAGCGTCACAGGTCAACGTAGCAGCTACACAGGTCAACGTAGCACCTTCTGCTTTTGGAACTGTGTGATTTACGGAGCCTGTGGGATGCCTGTAATCAGACATCTGTTTGAAAAGGCTGGAATTAGTCAAAAACTAATGTTCGTGTAGCACGTGAGGTGGGTTTGTTTCCCGCTGTAAGTGAGGGGGCAGATCCGGCCAAACTGGACGGGTCGTCTTGTATTTGTGTGAAGGGGTGACATGCAGCTCAGCGGGTTTCAACACTGTGCCTGTGATTGGAAGGTCGTCGGTTCAGATCCCATGGTCGCCGGAGTGATTTCAGAGTTGGGCCCTTGAGCAATACCCTTAACCCCCAATTGCTCCAGGGAAATTTAAAATGGTTCGGTGTTCATTGGGGAATCGGGGCCAGTGACAGCGTGAGCAGGGTGCTTGGCGATTGCCGCTGGTGAAAATTGTGCATCAGCTTTGGTTGTAAAGGTCAGTGGGTGTGAAGCTTGTCCGATTGTGCGTGTCTGTCGGGGGGGGAGGGTTTATGTTGTCTGCTCGACGTGACTGTATTGTGTTCCTTTCCCTCGGGACGTGTGGTACCACTGCAGAAGGCAGCGGTGTGAGAAAGCGACTGAAGGTGATGGAGTCCAGCCAGACTGCATGCTGATTCACCAGGGTGAGATCTGTGCGGGTCTGTTCTCAGCTATGGGGCCAGAGCAATCGTGTGCGTTTGGGTGACGATGAAAAGAGCAGTAATATCGCTTGTGGGTTTAATAAGCTGCGTGGGTTTTTCCATCTGGGGAAAAAGACGTATCCAAAAACTCACACTGCATCCTGCATGGGGCTGATTGACTTGTCCTGACGGGGGCACGTTGGAGCATGAATTACCCCCCTATGAAATGTGGGGAGAGGCACCATTTCTGTGCCTGTCTGTGGCAACCCCCCTGCTAGAATCGTGACTCTGAGTTAATGGCAGTTGTGGTTTTTAGCGGGAGGGGCGGACATTTGGGAAGCTGTGTGGTTTGTGTTAAGAGCCTTGTCTCCCAGGACCCAACAGCATGGGGGGGGGCAGGGGGTGGAACCCCTTTTTCTTGGGAACTGCAGGCTTGTGAGGAGGCCTGTAAAAGCAAGCAGGCGTTTCACTGCTGGGGGGGGCGGGGGCAACTTTTACTGGAAAGAAATGACAAATGTATTGCAGGGGGTGGTTTGAAGCCGATTGTATATGCACGCTAAGCGGGGGGGTGTAAAGTCTTAGTGCCCACATCCCATATAAGCAGGACTCATTACGTGTTTGAGATCATGTGACCAGCTAGGGCTCTGCAAGTCGCTGTGTGACCTGCAGTGTGTGGATTAGCTCTGCTCTCCGCTTGGGCCCGACGGGGCGCTGTGTGTTCAGGTCCCTCTGCCGATGGCCTGTGTGCGGACGCGCACCTCCAGGGCGTCGTCAGCGTGGCTGCAGAGGGACCAGACACGTCACAGCCTCCGCCATCAGAACGTGCCGGAAAGCAGGCGGCCACATTGACCGAGCGCACAAATTCGGAGTGCAGACTCATTCTAGAACATTCCATCAGAATCGAATTTCAAGGACTTTGGTGGTGGTGGGGGGGGGGGAATCCCGATGTGGGTGCCCGGTATCTCGGTTAGGCAGTAAAATAATATGCAGTGTGTCTGCTCTCCTTGCGGGCGGCGTTTGGGTCCCGTCGTGCAGGAAAAACCCCAGAAAAAAACCGAAACGGCACAAGACGACACGTTTCGGTTTGCATGCCTGTGGAGCGTCTTTGTACAGACGACGGCACACGGCAGAGAGAGCGAGCGTGCGAGCGGCACACACACGCGCACATGGATGCTCCGCCCCCAGCGAGGCTCTCCACTGCTTGTGCGTGTGCACCCTGGCAGCAGTGGCGTGGTGAACGGCGGCTGCACGGTGAGATCCTCTCGCGCCGTCTCTGCTCCCCCCAGAGGCTCCCCCTCGCTATTGCATGGACAGCCGCACCTCGTCAGATCAGGTAGGGCAGGCTCCCCGCCGCGAGCTCAGCGTCCAGCACCTGCAGCCGCTCTCAGCAGGCTATCGGCAGTTGACATCTTCTTGCAGGCTTTTCTGTTTCCCCCTCCTCCCCCACTTTGGCAACCCCTCCCCCGCGCGTCTTCCAGCGACGGTGCCCCACTAGCTGCTGCGAGCTCACACTACGTTTCATCTCTGTTAATCACTAGCCTGGCAGTCCGCTCTGCAGGCTTGCGTTGCCCCGTGGCAGGACCGGGCGTATCGTGTGACACCTCGAGCTCATTTCCTTCCTGTCCGCGTGCCGCTCTTCGCCATCATGTGACATTCGCTCGTCCCTCGTGTTAGGCCTGCTCCGGTTCCGCGCAGCCAGTGTCTCTGCAGTTTTCTGGGGGTTTACGGTTCTGCGTCTACCCACCCCTTGGGTGATTCTAAACCGGTTTGGCTGTGAAACCCAGGTTTGCTCTTCCTCTTTCAGACTTGACAGACAGGCATGACAGGACACTGTGTGTCTTGAGTTCGGGGTGACAGAGTAGAGTCACTTTTCGCTCCGTTGTGTCACAGTTAAACCAAACCGGACCCCCCCTAATAATGCACGACCCTCGGGTTGATCCCCACCAGCCTTACGTGCAAGGGGAGGTCTGTGCTTCGGAGCTCTCACCAAACCACGTGTGTTTCATGCCAACAGGGTCAGAGGTCACGTTGAGCAGCGCCATGTCGGATCCCGCCAAGCCATCCCTGCCACCGGTGCGTGCGGACAAGCCCGGTGCCGACTTCAGCTATGTGGGCATCGACGCCATTCTGGAGCAGATGAGGAGGAAAGCCTTGAAGAAGGGGTTCGAGCTCAACATCATGGTAGTGGGTGAGTCCTGGGGAGGGGGTCGCTGGGCAGGGAGGGCTGGGGTTAAGCTCTGAAAAACCTTTATCTCTCCCTCCAAATCTTTTGGCACAAATTATAATGTTTGATTTAAGTGATTGTGGTTTTGCACCAGCATGCAGCTGCTGGTATACAGTGATAAGAGGTAAAATGAGTCTGTCCCCTAGAGTCAGTCCATTCTGAGTGTCCCCTAGAGTCAGTCCATCCTGAGTGCCCCCTCCCCCTGCAGTCCATCCACCCCAAGAGTCACCTTCCACTCCCCTCCACTGAGTGTCTGTACCACAGGAAATCTGTCCCTCCCCCTCGGAGAGTCTGTCCCTCCTGGGTGTCCACCTGGAGTGTCACGTCCCAGCGTCCGCCCCCCCGCAGTCAGGCCCCCATCCTCGGTGCTTACACGGAGCATATACTACTCCTACTGCACTTTCCTTCTGAAGCTTTTAACCATGAGATTGTGCTCAAACTGGTAAGCAAATTAGTAGGTGCTGCACCCACTAAAAGTGCCAGTTTGCTCAAAGCTTTTAATTTAAAATGAATTCAGGTTTTTGCGTGAATTAAGTTCTGCTGGGAATTTTGGTGTTCAAGAATGGGGGGGGCGGGAATGCAGGTTTAGCTTGCTTCTGGGGAAATAGTTTGTGTTCGAGTCTGGTGAGTTTGTTGGACTGAAACATTTCGGAGCGTCATGACAGCAAGGGAGTCCAGAGGCCATGCATGCAGGCCGTGAATGCGTGTTACGGCGTGTGCGCACACATGCAACCCGGTGGGGTGTTTAGCTAGCCAGTCCCAGGACATAACCAGTTTAGAGAGAGACTGTCTGCCTAGCCAGCTGTGTCTGTTTCAGATGGCTCATACCCTTCATTGGCTTAATCAAGAACACAGTCGCTCTGTTTTATGATCACATGACGCACAGCATCTTCCATGGCAGGAAATCGCTGAATATTTTCGCTAAACCACTTGCAGACATTGTGCAGAATCTCTAGCATGTCTGACCCTCGAAAATGAGATTTATTTGGTAATTAAGCTGCAGTAACGGTCTGGATGCTGGTGTGTCCCTTGTGTGTCCCCCATGTGGGTCTGTTTGACCAGGACACGCCTTGATCTCCGTGAGCACGGCTGATTGGCTGAGATTCATGACAGTGAGTTGTGTGCTTAACCAGTGTCTGGGGTCTGTTCTGCAACAGCAATGGGTCTGGAGGGGAATGATTTCCTAGGGAAACCTATGACTGAAACCTGCACTTTTTTATTTTCACTTTTATATACATTTTATATGTTTCTCATTTTTAATACTTTTTTTAAAAACTAAATTAAATTACATAAATGATATTTCTACCTTGTTTTTTTTGCATAGATGGGATTAGTGGCAATTTCATTTCACTGCTGAGGCACCACTACAGTCATGCATGTGGCACATAATCTTGAGGTGATCTGAAGGCAGGCTTCCAGGTTAGTCCGAGTCTGCGGCCAGGTGAACGGGAATGACCGTAAAGCTGGTCACATAGTTCTCAGAAAGGTTGAGCATCTGAAAGGACATCCATCTTTATCAGATTATATTATTGAGGAGACTTCAGCCAGCTGGTTTTGAGAGCTTTGACAGGGAAATGTTTATAACCTGCTAACCAGTCTTAAACGTTTGCTAGCTATTAACAGATATATAAGGTTAGTTAGTTAGTTGTTAACTGATCTATAATACTATAAAGACTCCAGGCCCCTCTGCAAACCCGACCAGGATAAGCTGTTGGAAACTGATGGATGCCATTGGTAGCATTGCAGTCATGTACTTTTTTCTCCTTATCTATCTGCTTTTCGCGTATGCCCAAAGTGTAGCCCCATTTCTCTGTGTGTGGGGGGGGGGGGCTTTCCTTTACAGTATGCAAAAGTGTCTACTGTGAACATTTCTGGGTGTGAGGAATTGCCTGACATTTCAGCGGTGTTCGCGGTATTTAGCAGTATCTGTTCTGTTATGATGTGTTTTCAACCTTCGCTATTGCTGTTAGCCGTAAAAATAGTCCATCGAGACGTATCGGCCTGAACTGCATTCGCTTTCAAGGTCAGGGTTTTCACTTCGCACCAGACCAAATAATTGTGGCCAAAAGCTCCTCGAATTATAGTCCATCGCCGTTTGGCGTCCTTGAGTATTTTTCCTCCAGTCCCCAGGGGCCGATTTGGGAGGTGTGTCGAGGTCTACATGCTTAGTGAAGCGGAGAACTCGCGATCTGTCTCGTTATGAGTAATGCAGTCTCCCGCTAGTCCTCGGTGACATCAGGAGCTCCCAGAAGCCTTTGGGGGTTTGTTTACATAACCTGCAGCCCTCAGGCCCCCGGTACAGAACGCCCCCCCCCCCCTTCCCAAACCACATCTCTCTGCAGCAGGTCTGAATGTGTCTGCCCCATAATCATTTACTCATCGTAATCCGTGAGCAGAAGTGAATGACAGCTTGGTGCCTGATGGAAAGGAGCAAAGCATTCTGGGAGCTCCCCAGCCCGGCTCCTTTCACTTTTCCCACCGTGAACTTGCCTTTGTCTCGCTCAGCCTTCTTGGGTGCTGTCTGAGCCCCTCGTCTGAGGCGGGCTGGACTTTGAACCAGAAGCTGGCTGTCTATGGTACCAGGAAAGCGGCTTCTTATGGGAGGAGGGAGAGGAAGTTGCAGAGAGACTAGAGAGTTCCTGTAACTGTCTCTCACCTCACGCGTGGGAGGAAAAAACTCAGTGTCTGAGAAATTCCATCAGGTTAACGAAGTATTTGTCCTGTGGCTGCTTGAGTTACATGTCATGTGTCCCTTTTGAATAGAATGACCAGATAATCCATGTCAGTGAGGGTGCTTTGAACTAGGACAGGGTTCTTAAACTACCATTCCAATTAAAAGGACCTGGAATTCTCTTAAGTATCAAATTCTTGCCTTGTGCTGATTGGTCAGTCTCCTATAATCATGCATGTGTCACTAATGTTAATGTGTTTATTTCCTTCAATCAAGGAAATAAACCAATCAACGCACAAGAAGAACTGAACTAGTACAGGAGCCTTTTGGTTTTAAAGTAGTTGGTAAAATCTGAAGTGGCTCAAAGTGTCCCCTCTGACATGGATTATTTGGTCACCATAGTTTTGAAAAGGACATCCGCTAATATTGCATGGTGTTGGGGAGCAGGTGAGGCACACAGGACCCGTTAGGTGAAGGTCCCGCCTTCCTGAGCCTTTGGTTGGGATGGTTCCCCTGGGTTCTTTAGAGAGGGCGGCCTCTTTTGGCTGGCAGACATGAGACACGAGTCTCTATCGTAATGATGGATGCCGTCCCACCGATTTGAGAGTGGCTGACGCCTGGTGACCCCTGGTGACCCCCTCCGTCTTCCTGCTCAGGACAGAGTGGCCTTGGCAAGTCGACGCTGATGAACACCCTCTTCAAGTCGAAGGTGAGCCGCAGGTCCACGCAGGCACCGCCAGAGGAGAGGATCCCCAAGACCATCGAGATTAAGTCTGTCAGTCACGGTGAGTTTGGGGGAGGGGGGCTTGGCCATGTGAAGACCTACCGAGGGGTGTAACTCCGGTCTTTCGTCTGGCACCCGCGTGTGACAGGCTCGTTCACCCCGCCCTGACGTGACTTGCTTGAACAGCTCCTTCTGACAGATGTTCTCCTATAACAGGACAGATTAGAACCATTTTGCCAGAACTTCCCCACCCGCTGCTTTCTCCCTGTAAATAACAGGATTAGCTCGTCTCCGGTTGTCTGCCAGGCAGAGAATGGGGGTGATCCTCGGGCAGTTGCCTGGGTGCCCCCCCAGCCAGACGGATTACTGACCGCGTCTCTGTCCTCCTGCAGACATAGAAGAGAAGGGCGTGAGGATGAAGCTGACGGTCATCGACACGCCGGGATTCGGGGACCAGATCAACAACAAGAATTGGTGAGCGGGGGGAGGGGTGATGTGCATGCTGGCGTGCATGGGGGTGCGTGTGCGTGACGTTCCTTCTGGTCCCTCCCTGTGCTCCGCAGCTGGATGCCCATCATGAAGTTCATCAACGACCAGTACGAGCTGTACCTGCAGGAGGAGATCAACATCAACAGGAAGAGGAGGATCCCGGACTCGCGCGTGCACTGCTGCGTCTACTTCATCCCTCCCACGGGTCACTGGTACGGACCACCAGAGGGCACTGGCATGCACACTGCAGCAGGCTTGACTGAGAGGCAGTGCTAGGCATTGCAGTCGGCGTGAGGTCACCCTTCCCCTAGGGGGTGACGCTGTGTGCTTGAAGCTAACCTGCTGTATGCTGACTACAGTTTTCTCTAGGGGAGGGCAGGTAATAATACAGAACACACAGGGCACTGCGTCTTACAGTGTGGGCCACATCCCTGCTTTATTACCTGCCTGCTACTCTGCCGCCTCAGGCGGCGACTCCCCATCCACAGTGGCTTCACTGTGTGGTGTGGAGGGATGTGCGAGTCTGTGGGTGGGTCTGCTGGCTTCACATCTCCATCTGGTAGCTGTGAAGTGGGTCACAGGTGGGTCAGATGTAGCTGTGGACTGGCAGTGGAGGCTCTTTCTGGGGGGGGGGGGCTGCTGCGGCACTGACACCTGTGTTATGAGGCCTCCTGCCCCTTTACACATGCACCACGCCACCCCCCCGGGGGATGTAGAGGAACACAGACAGCAACCTTTTTTGGCTCCGTGCCGTTCCAGGGGCCCGTAGCAGGCTCTGGCAGGGAGTGTGGTGCGTTCTCCTTCTCCAGGTTCCTGTTTCTCATGCAGCTCAGTCGTCTGGATCTGATTTGATCTACCATTCAGACCCCTCCCTCTGAAAGGACGATTCATGCTTCGCCTCTGACTGCGGGGCCCCGGCCCTTCATCTAAGGCTGTGGGGTCCCATCCCATGTGTTTGTATCTGGCTGCAGGGCTGCGGGGCCCCGTCCTGTCTCCCAGACTGTGACACTCGTTCTCAATTCAGCGACACGGTCGGACGCATTTTCTATGCGTATGTGTTGCCACAGGGACATCACAGACATGCATTTCTTTAGCTTCAGTTTGCTAGCAGATGAGAATAACTAGAAATGTTAAGTGTCGTATTACTCGGCAGAATAGTCCTACGTTGTTCTTAGCTCCCTGTGAGTGACACCCCTGTTCCCTGTGAGTGACACCCCTGCTCCCTGTGAGTGACACCCCTGCTCCCTGTGAGTGACACCCCTGCTCCCTGTGAGTGACACCCCTGCTCCTTGGTTCTTCTTGCTGCCACCTTGGGATCCGTACCTGAGGTCCTGCTCTTATGGGGGGTCGGCAGTTCCAGAGACTCAATGGCGCTACATTGGTTCTGTCTGGATTTGATTAGTCTTTGCTTTCCGGTCACATTGTTTTTGGCTAATTACTCCAACTGAGACTGTTAAAGCAGTTACCTGCTGTGAAGAAGGCTTTAGGCTGTGTTGGTGCTGGTTAACTAGCTCGTAGCAGGCAAGTCGGCGCTTGGCTGATGCTGCAGGGGGCGCACCTGTGCAAACGGCCTCCTCCTTCACCCTGACATTGCAAAAATGACGACCCCCCCCCAACCCAACAATAACATTGAGCTCATTTGTCATGTGCAGATGCCATGATGCATAATAATGCCTTTGGCATGAATTAGCTGGTTAGTTAACTATTTACTTCCTGTCTGGAGCAGCTTGCAGCTTCTGTGCCACAGTTGCCTGTAGATCGGTGGTTTGCTTAGTGCTGACGCTGCTTAGTGGGGTTAGGGCTTCCCAGGTCCTGTTCCCAAGCCCAGAAAGGCTGCGGTGGCAGGCTGCAGAACTGAAACACATCAAGATCTGTCAGTCAGGAAGCTGTGGGTTCCTGTCCCTTTAAGGACAGGAACCCCCCCCCCCCCACCACCACCACCCTTTTCAGTAGTGGGGCACCTGGTTCCTCCACATTGCTTCTTGACATTTGTTTCCTGCTGTTCTGAACATGCCACCCCATGTTTGCTTTCTCACTTGCAAAATGTTACTCCCCCCCCTTCATTTTTACGTCTATCTTTACACCGTCAGGGCGATCAGACAGCTTTCTGAGATGAAGTGGCCGGCGTCCGTTCACCCTGTGCTGTGTCCGACGGGTGGCCTGTAGGCCTCAGTATTAGCACTATCGCATGGGGGTGCAGATTCAGCCGTCGCATGTTTATCCCCCCCCCCCCCCCATGCAGCCTGAGGCCCCTGGACGTGGAGTTCATGCAGCGTCTCAGCAAGGTGGTGAACATCGTCCCCGTCATTGCCAAAGCGGACACGCTGACGCTTGAGGAACGGGACTTCTTCAAGCAGAAGGTGAGCGCTGCTCGTCTGCGGGGCTCCTTCTGGCCAGTCCGAGCGGGAGTCCGGCCCCCTCCATCCTGCCGGGCTACGACATGTCTCCGCGGCCCGGCGGATCTCACTGCGCTCTGTTAACATCAAGGACTGATTTGTCAAGAAGGTGCTGCAGAGCCTGTGTCCAAGGTGCCAACGTGTGTAGCCTGCGTGGAGGGAAGCAATGGCTGCTGCGCACTTCCTGTTTACTAGTTTCAGCCACTTGGCCGTGTTCTGCACTTCCTGTTTCTGGACTCTGGGGCAGAGAGTGAAATTGGGCTGTATTTTAAACATTTTCCCCCTGTTCTGGCTTGAGAGTCGCCCGGTCTCTGAAGGCAGAGCTCACCTACCTCCCACCCTGGCATCCATCTTTGTGGCATCGTTATATTATGTATTCAGACTGGAACCATGCGGGGCACTTGGCTACTATGTCGTCTGTTACTGACCAATGGGGAGAAGCAATAAATGACTTAATGAGATGGGAGCTTTGGGATTGTAACGATGGCTGTTATTGGCTATCAGGGCTGTGTGTGGCCCAGGGGCTGCGGTGCTACATTCCTGCTCTGTTCTCCATCTGACCGCTTAGTGTAATTTTGGTTTACCAAGACCCACACAGTGTCACGTCCCAGATGAGCTTTAGGGACACTAGAACCTGTAACCTACTGGCGGCTCGGCTCTCTTCTGGCCTTAACACCGGTTTATGGTGTCGTCATACCCTAACTTCCAAAGTATCTGTTACCTGTGTGTCCGGGTTTCCTGGATGTTCAGTGAGGCCGTTATCCCCTCCTGTCCCCGCCGTATATCCGAAGAGTTCCGGCGACGCAAATGGCCGCTCTGCGTCCCGCTTATGACTCTGTGTCCCCGTCCAGATCCGGGAAGACCTGCGAGCCCACGGGATCGACGTGTACCCGCAGAAAGAGTTTGACGAGGACGCGGAGGACCGGGCGACCAACGAGAGGATCAGAGTGAGTGCTTGGGGGCCAGTTGCCGTGACTGCGGGTCGCCCACCCACCACTAACCCTTATTTTAATTTTGATGGCTTGATGTAAGAATTTAACGATCCCGTTACTCCTGGGTACTTTTGTAATAACACTCTTAAATAGTACTTTTAGTGCCTGTGCAATAGTGTGTGATTTTATTTATTTATTTTTTTGTTAAAAGTAAAACCTACTAAAGACACGTTAGGAGATGAGCTATGAGTCGTTTTATGCTCTGGGGGAGTGTTTATTTGGGGAATGGAGGCTTTGGTGTGTAGGGACCGGGCCTGGATGTCCTGTCCTCCTGTTCTGGCCGTCAGCCCTGTGGTCTCTCCATTCCTCTCTCAGGAGATGATTCCCTTTGCGGTGGTGGGGAGCGACCAGGAGTACCAGGTCAACGGGAGGAGGCTCCTGGGAAGGAAAACGAAGTGGGGCACCATAGAAGGTTAGCAACCCCCCCCCCCCACCCCCACCCTAGCGTCTATGAGAATGCAAAGTCTGCGCAAATGTAACGTCGATACACTTTGTCTCTGCAGCGCATCTGGGAGCTCAGATATAGTCTGAACTGTTTCACTAGCTTTCTAAAAGCCTTTATTACAGAATCAAGGTAGTTCAGTGTAAGATTATCTGCAAACAGTCACACTTCAGCAGCAGGAACCTGGAATCTGAGTTGCGATCTAGTCAAGGAGTGGAGCAAAAGGCGGCGTAATGGCATGTTTGCGCTCGTGCTTATACCGGTCGGGGCTCAGATGGTGCCGTGCTGCTTTTGGTAACGGCTGACACTGTCTCCCGAGGGCGATACGTGGGTGTGCTTTCTGGAAACAAAAAGGAGCACCAGCGAGCGTGTTGTGACCATATGTCGGGGTTGTGACTGGCCAAGCGGTGCAGTCAGACCCTGGAGAGAGAGAACGTGCTGCAAAGAGAGGGCATGCGCGCGCACACAGACATGCACACACATACACACATATGCACGCATGTGCGCACACACAGACGCACACGCATGCATGCGCACGCACACACACACACACAGACATATACACATGCAGACACAGACATATAAATGCACAGACATGCACACACACAGACACCCACACAGGTCCTCAGAACGGCACAATGACTCCTTTCTGTCTGGGGCAGGCGTTCTACCCTCAATGTTGCCGAACACGTTTGCATGTCTGCCATAAATCACCGAGCCACAAAGAGCTCAGTGTGCCTGTGGTCTGGGAGATGGTGTGGGGGGGCGGGGAGTGGGACACAAAGGCCAGAGGTTCCTCAGTCAGGGCTTTTCAGTCACTGTCCACCCCCCCCATCCCCAAGAAGCCTCTCCTCCTCTTCTCCTGCTCCAGCTAGCGGCTGCTGGGGGGGCTCGAGGTCTCGAGGGGGCACTTGAGGGCGCCTGGGATTTTTCTCCTCAGCCCACCGAAGCCGGACGCGAGCCGCTAGGTGTGAAGATCTCGATCCGATATGCGGGTTTGCCATTCCACCTGGCAACCGGCATGAAACCTGGTTAAATGCCACGGCTGCTGTGGTCCCGCTGGGGACCTTCGCTGGGATTTCACACACTGCCCACTCTGAAAGCAGAGGCCTCCTCCTGTTTTCATTGCTTGGTGGACATGTTTCTCTCATGTTATGTGCCGGATCACAGCTCGCTTTCAGTTTGGAAATGGCTGCCTGGTGATGTAAGCTCTGATCCGTATGGGGGTCGGCCGGAGGAATTATGTCTCCCTGCCGGCTTGGGAAACATCTGGGCTTCCCCCAGAATGAGCCAGATTCTGTGGCTGCAAGACTCCTGGCCTGACCTGCTCTGCATACCGCCACCATTAACCTCAAGGAGAGATAGCATATGACGATGCTGATGCTGGGTGTGGCTGCTGCTGACTGCTGTGACAGCACTGCCACCTGGTGGCAAGACGTGAGAACTTTGCCATTTTACTGACAAAGAAAATTCCTTTCATTCTCGAAGGATCGTCAAGGTTTTGTTCAGTGTTCAGGATTCGCAAGGCCCTGGATCTGACATTTTGAATCGTTTACTTTACAGTTCTCTCCTTTCATTCCTGAGAAAAAACTAATCGTATCATTTTGGAAATTACCTTGCACAAGAGTACATGTATAGTGTTTAGCAGAAACTTTACGCATCAATGTTTATACGGCTGTCTTGGAGACGACAAGGCGTAAGTGCAGCTTGGCTGAGCTTCCAGTGAACGCGCAGGTGCTGGTGTAAGTGGGACTGAAGCAGGAGCTACACAACAGCTTTCAAACAAAGCAAGAAGCTCAGAAGTAATGTAATTGTAAAGTAATGATGTGTAATTACGTTCTTAACTTTGTAAAACGGCACGTTAAAAGGTTTTTATCATCAAACGCAGGCTATGTTGTCACGTATGTGATGCGCATTGCCAGCAGTGTCCACGTGACACGAGTGTCACATCACTGCCGTTTCACACCCACGCTCTCTCTCTCTCTGCAGTTGAGAACACAGCACACTGCGAGTTTGCGTTTCTGCGCGACCTGCTGATTAGGTAAGATCTCTCTCTAGGTCACCATTACCTAGTGCTTCACTGGTATCTCCTGTGCAGTTATTAAACGTTTTAAAGGTGCGTGATGCACAGCACCTGCAGATCTTTCTAGCAGAGCCTGTCCAGGTCTCTGTGGTCAGTGGTTGCAGTGTGTCACCTCAAGGGTTCACTGAGGGACCCTGCTAGCCGACAGCCGCGGAGTTCCTCAGTCACTGTCTACCGGCCTCATCTCCATCCCCTCCTGCAGGACCCACATGCAGAACATCAAGGACATCACCAGCAGCATCCATTACGAAGGGTACCGCGTCCGCAGGCTCAACGAGAGCAACGCGCAGAGCAACGGCATCGCTGAGCACGACGTGTCAGCCAGTGAGATCTAGATGGCTGCCACCCCCCCCCCCCCCCCATTGACCACCCTGTTACTTGCCCCATGTGACCCCACAACTCCCCTCCAGTCCCACCTCACTCTATCCTGACTGGCTGGCCCATCACATCAGTGCCCAGTTCATTTGTACCCCCCCCCCCCTTCCGGGTGCAGAACATCTCTGATTCGTTCTTTTGACATGCGGCCTGACGGTTCTGCACTGCTATTCCTTAAAAGGGCGTCGCGCTTCGGACCCCCATTGGGCCATTAAGCCTGTGTTTAACTGCCCCCAGCATCCCGTTCCGCTGCGAATCTGTTCTTGTGGCTGAGCTGCCACAACCTACCAGCAGGGGGCAGGGTAGACCACGGGAGCTGTAGGTCCAGAGGGGTGTTGCCGATGACGACGACAGTGCGCTGCTTTCACGCAGCCTGTAGTGATGGGTGCAGTACTTGTAGTACACCCCCCCCCCCCCCCCCGATTTGGTAGGTGCCAATTAACCTTTGGGAATGGGGCATCTATCATATGGCTAACAATAAGTCTGGAAACCTTGTCGTTTACAAGCCGCCCAGGAAGCGGGTGACGCAGTTTCAGAGACGTGCGGATTCTCCTGGGGACGGGGCTTTAGGGGCTCTTTAGCAGATGGGTGTGTCAGTATAGAGATGTTGTTGTTTCTGGTCTTATTGTTGTTTTGTTTTTGCTACCGTTTAACGAGCACATCACCCACCGGGACCCCAGGCAGCACGTAGAAAGATGAATGGGTCGCGATCCCAGTCAGCACCAGCAGTGTGTAGCGACCTACTCCTCTCTTAGCGGTTCCTTGTTTTAATTAAACCCTGCCCCCTTCATGCCAAATGGTTTTGTATGCTGCTTTTGAACCTGACCTTTCTTACAGTTACATTTATCATCGTTTTTATTGTTTATTTTTGGAGGGGCTCGAATGGAATCCTGATTTGTCCAATTCCTGTGGTTTCTGTGCCTTATGTAGAGCAAATTAGTGGTCTTCCTGTTCTAAAGACAGCAGATATGGGATTGATATGGATAAAATATTTATGTTTATCAAAGGATAAGTATGTACTCCTAATTCCGACATCCCCTCCCCCCCTCCTTGGCAGGAACAGCCTTAACTGGGTGGTATCAGTATTTCGGTCTAATTCTCTTTATTTATTGGCTCTCAGAGGCGCCAGCAGCTTTGTCATTGGTTGGAGAAGAGTGACGTGTCAGTGACAGCCACCAGTCAATGAAAGCCGTCTGCGTTTTGGAGGCTGCCTATTGGCTGCCTTGTGGCGTGTCAGCCTCCCCAGCCTGTGCTCCCACACTGACGGTTTCTCCGCAGGCCCCGACTTGTAGGCTTTCCTGTGGGCCCTTATCCCCCCCGAAAATGCTTCGGGGTTTGGGGTTGGGGGACAGGCCGTGTCTGGTGACGTTGGGCAGGACCGTCAACGCGGGTTTCCCACAATCCCCTGCTCCGGAGATGCCAGTGGGGATGCCTTCTCGGCTGTTCGCTCCCCAAGCATTCAGCGTGTGTTCATTTGGATTGAACACCCATTTTTATATTACCCACGTCTCCACCCCCGCTCGGCATTTATGGGGGGGGGGGGGCATTTAGGTTTTGCCAAAATTGTGCTGCCGAGACCTTTGACAGAAAGAGGGGAAGCAGCTAAAAGCAGGAGTGCTGGGGTGATGCTCTGTACGTGGACAAAGAGGGCGGGGCTCTGTGCTGTTTACACCTCTGTGGTTTTATTATCAGTCTTTTCTCCTGCCTCCCGACTCCTTTGAGGATTTTATCTCTTCCCCCCCCCCCCACTGCTTTGTCCACTGATGATCTAATTGTAAAGTCCTTCCTCCTAATAATCGACAGCTGAACTTAATGAAAGTAAGATTTTGTTTATGCTACGCAGGACCTAAGAAGGAATGTTTTATGTCATTTGTGTCTGCAAACTGAAATGTATTAAAGAAGCAATAAACTTATTCACATATTTTGCTGCATGTTCCTTGTATCCAGATCAATGGCTTTGTTATGCACACACACTGTTTGATGAATTTATTGCTCATTTCTGTTTGGTTTCCTAGTCACGTCCATTTGGACCTTCTCAAAACACTGACATGTGGGAACTGTAAACCCAATTCCCTACAAAAACAACATGCATGTGTTATTCCCCAACCACGAGTTTCAGGATTCAGCTTTGCACAGTTAACCTGCAGTAAACCATAACCCCAGCCATTCCCTATGTTTTTTAAATTTTACCACCAACTGAATTAAGCCAATTAGCATAATTATGTAAATAACTCAATGTGGTATTGGTTATCCAAACGGCGTGTTACTGGCCAAACTAACACACTTTGACAGACGTCATAGTTTTACACCTACAGTATTGTGTCAGCAAACTATTAAATGGTGCTTATGGACCATACTGAGTGATTCGGCCCACATCCACAAACTTCTTGGCTGGGTGATGTGAATCCGGAGGGTGGTGTTCAGCCAGTGGGCCCCAAATCCAGTCCTGCACCACAGTTTGCAAATTTCCCTGCTCAAACACACCTACTAAATGTAGCAATTAGCTGATTAAGATGTGTTTGAGCAGGGAAATCTGCAAACACTAGGATTCTGGCACTCCAGAATCGGTACTGGGGAACCCTGCTGTAACTGGAAGCCAGCTAGCTTGCTGCAAATTTTGGTGACTGGTTTCTTGAACTGCACTGGTACTAGTAACCCAAACAGGCTGATTTGTTTTGCTTGGTAAGGTTCCTGAAAAAGTAAGCCCACTTTCCCATGGCACTGAAGGTTGCCTGATACGTCTGGGAAAAACAGTCTCCCCAGTATCTCAAGGAGCCTGTCTGCCTTCGAGAGTGTTTGGTCTGGTCCACAGCTGGAGAAGCTTGCGAAGTCTTCAGTGGTGATGCGTCGCTGAGTTTGGAGAGCGCCCCCTTGTGCCCTGTGATGACGAGATACAGCCACATGATCAGGTAAACACTGTTTTAACAACTACACCACCTGCTGCTGCGTTCTGTCATTGCAGACCTCTTGAGTGTGACATTGAATCACAGGGGATCCCGTGCCGGTATCTTCATTCATGTCCACTCTGACGTATTTCCTTCCGTCAGTTGTACCCATGAGTGCAGATGTCTTGTTTTGGGGGAACCCTCTCTGGGAACGGCACTGCAAAAAAATGTGGCTGAACTGAATGCTGAGAGGAGCGTCCTCTGAGGCTTTGTCCACTGTCACTCAGCTTCTCCTTCTGCACGCTGCATTCGCGCTTTGTTCCTGAGAATATGAATAAATAATGTGTGCACTCCCTTGCAAGTCTGAGTTCCCCCTGTGCATGAATGAAGACATTTTTACTCTACCGTATAATGCAAATGTAATGCACACATTCAGCTTTAGGGAGGCAAGGTGGCCCATTCTTTAGAATGAATTTTTATTCGAGTGGGTCACATGTCTATCCAAATAGCATGTCACTATTTTTATAAAATAAGGAGGATTTTCCACCATGTATCAGTGCTATGGCATTGGATTTGTTTCCTGGGCCACTGTGTATGGTCCGACTGCTATTCCAACAGGTTTAATTGTTTAAGATGGCAGTTCATTATCTGTATTACATATATGGCTTATGGATGTGACGTGTTGGATAAAATTGCTGCGGGCCCCAAATACGCTTCGACATTTCACTGACAAAGCTGAATTCCAGTGGACACAAGGTAAGCATCCCTGTAATTGAAGGCTTTCTGACACAGCAGCTGTCATCCTTTGGTAATGTCTCAGCAGGCATAACCAATCAATCCAGATTAATCAATCCAGCCGTAAAAAGTGTTAGTTCACTTTGCTGGCCAAGGCCTTGCCGTTAGGGTAGCGCTCCGACGGCGTGGTCTCCCACATAACGATCTGTGGTCGGTGCATGGTTTCTAAATGGATGTAGGTCAGGACCCCCTTGGGAAACTGCAGGAGAGACTCCAGCTCCATAATACACCTCCTGGTGGAGGGGAGGCGCCAGGCTGATACTACGGGCCTAATCTGGGAATAAGGTGCCAGGTGTACAGCAGCCGTCACATGGTGCTGTCGGCCGTCACGTGACACACACCAGTTTGCGGATTTTCTTGTATTTCTTTGGTGTCCCATGTTTCTGACTTTTTCTCAATAGATGATACTGAACTCTTACCCCACCCCACCCCCCACAACACACACCAAGCTTCCAGAATTAGTAAGACCCATTAACGGGGGGATTAGGATCATGTTAGACCACAACTATGGGTCTCAAGCTCAAGGTCATTTCAAGGTCACTACAAATGAAATTTTAAGCTGATTTTCATATTTATATTTACATAGGACATTTTGTGCATTCTTATGGATTTTTCATTACAGTATCCATGACTTTTTGACAGACGTGTCTCGTTATAGCCAGGAATTAGTGCAAAGTGATGATGTTGCTGTTGTGCCGAAGCCATCATGCCGGTCGGCGTATAAACGAAGAACCTTCCGGAAGTCCCTGTGCCTGCTGCTTCGCTTGAGCGTGCCCCTCTGCCCGCCGATCAGTGCATGGCTTCGCCCCCTGGTACCTGGGCCAGCACCTCTGGATCCGCAGTTCTGCACGACGGGCCTGAAGTCTAACCCGAGAGTGTTTTTGAGAGTGAGTTGGAGTAGCGGCGTGCGCACCCTCCATACCCCTTCTGCATCACCAGGGAAACGTCCGGCTTGGACACCGTTTAACTTTGACCGGGACTGTTGCTCAGGTCCCCCTGGGCATCTGCCTGTTTCCCACCTCCTCACCATTTTGAAAAGGGTGGTTCACTTCCAAGATGGCGCCCGTCGCTCTCTCACCTTTGCGACGGCAGACAGAAGGCGTTCGCCCCCCCCCCCCCTCCCCTCCAATTCACACACTCTGTCTGCAGCCTGCAGGCTGGGAGATGTTCTTCCTCTCATTGCTGCCCGCAGCCTCGTGCCGTATCCCTTAGAGACGGAGTGAAATGGGGGGGGGGCAGAGTAGGGTGGTGTGGCAAAGCTTCGATCTGTGGGTGGCCAACTTTGCGTCCGCACACCTTCCGCCCCATTCCCGATCGCCACAGCTTTAGCATCCAGTTATAATTAAGTGAATTTGTCTGTCTGTGGCATTTGCTTTTAGACAGACTCCTCAGGTCTCCGAAGGCATCCACAAGGGGCAGCGTAAGGCGGCCAATCACCACGCGCCGGCATTCTGACTCTGTTCCCTGGCTCCTCCCCCCAAGGCGATGGGCGAAGGCTCCCCTTTTTCCAGGAAATGCAGCTCTGATTGTTCGCGTTTCCATGTTCTGTGCTTGCTGTGCCAGCAATGGAGCGGCGTCGTGGTTAAACGAGAGCGTGAGAGGGAGTCGTGCCGGGGGCCTGGAGCGTCGATTTAATGCTGATTAAGTGATGAAGAGGACGGTGAAGGCATGACACGAGCCCTTAGCTGACTCAGTGGCTGAAGCACATGCTCATTAACAACAGGCAGGGCTAGATAGAGGTATTTTGGGGTGAATTAAGTCCAGAAGGATTAATATAATATGATGCAATGAGAAATAGATTGTGCATATTTGCACAGCTTGATATTTCGTTTGGGTCTCCATGTTATCAGTTCTACTCCAACCAGCTGCTTCATTAACCGTTACGCCACCTACTGTTCATCTGTTGGATGCCTCCGGAGGCTTCGCAGCGGGCAGCGCGGGTTCTGCATGGGGGTGTGCGTCACATAACCGTGCCATAGCAGGCTGCATCGGCGTGCATCACTCCATCCGTCAGTCAGGCGGCATGCCGTCACTCTGACCCTCCCCTGCGGAACTCTGCGGAATCATCCAGAAATCCACTGCTATCTGTCCCCCTCCCCCAACGCTGCCAGAGCGATTCAGGCACCGAGTCCCGCCCAGCTCATCTGCATTACAGTAATTTGTGCGTAATTAGCAGCGCTGCGTGGAAAAGGCTTGCGCTGAGTTTTGAACCACTGGCCCCTGGTTTTATTCCTGTGTCTCGAGTCGCCGCTGAGCTGCCCCCTCCCAGAATTCTCTGTGTGTGCTCACCTTGCCCCCGTCCCCTGCCTGCTCCTCACTTGTGTGCATGCGTACGTGCCTTTGTTGCTCTCCTTTTTGTCTCCTCTGTTTCTCCCCTTCCCCCACTGAGCCCCTTGCCTCCTGGCTGCGTGCCAGGCGCACAGCATTGGGGGGGGGGGGCTGGTAGGGTGGAGCTCTGGTGCCATCCATATGCAAATGATCCTTGTTTTGATTAAAAGCTAGCTACTAATTCAATTACATTTGATGGTATAAAAAAGGGGGCAGGCTGGGTGCAGTTTTGTTTATAAACTAATTTTCCTTCCTGGAATGGGGGGCTTTGATGGAGCAAACAAAGGGCTGATGGAATTGCTTTGATGGGGAATGGCAGTCCGGCAGGCTGGCACTGGGATAGCTGCACGGCTGGTCCTATGCACAGAAACCTGCAGCTGTCTGTGGCAAGACACAGAGGTTCACCCGTCTGCCCTGAACCAGACAGACAGGGCAGACAGCCAGCCAGAAGACGAGGGCTGCTCCCTGGCACACGCCTCTGAAGTTCCTCTCTGGCTAACAGCCATGTAGCACCACCAAGCCCAGGGAGTCTCTCTGGAGACAGTGAGGTGATAAGTTGGCAGCTGCCACTTGCTAAGACCACGCTACGCTAAGACCATGCTACGCTAAGACCACGCTACGCTAAGACCATGCTACGCTAACACCGCACTACGCTAAGACTATGCTACGCTAACACCACACTACGCACCATGCTAACGGAGTATGTTTCAGTGGGAATATGCAGTGGGAAGTCCACCATCAAACACAAACTGGTACTTCTGGCTTTGGCATTCCTGAAACCGACATGTTTGCATCTTTTTAGATGTAGGGCTCTGGAGTCTAGGGTCAAACTAAATAAAAATAAGAGCAAGAACGGTGCAGCTATAACACACTTTAATTTAGGCTTGAGTTTGGGGGGGCCTGTGTTCAGTTAAAGACCTTGG